TTGTGGAACAAAGCAAACTTTTTGCATGTCATGTGAGTTTACCTGATAATACTAATAATAATTAATAAATACCAGCTATGTTAACTGGTTCAATTCTGGTTTTACTGATTTTAAGTTGCGTATTTGTGCTGCTATATTATAATTATCATAACCACTACAAGAAAAAAATTTTAAAGCCATCGATTTTTTACTAGCATTCTCGTAAAACGCTACCCTTGATGATGCAGAAAATGGAGATATATTGTTCATCGCAGCGTTTCTAAGAAATGCTTTATTATTATAATTTATCTCAAGAGTTTCTTCCAAAACATAGTTGTAATATTAGAAAAAAAATCAAAAAATAAAAAAAAGCGCAAGCATTTCCCTCGCTACCTTTTCAGTACTCTCCATTCTTCACTTAGATCTGGGGTTCTTGGGCCTGCTTGATTCTCCCTTTTTTTTTTTTTTTGTTGGTTTGATTCACTCAAATTTGTATTTTTTCCTTTGTGCCAGGGTTTTGATTTCCAAATTATGGTGATAACCATCGATGAGATGCAAAGGGATCGAAATTTGGTCGGGTCTGAGGTTTCTCACCTTTTTAATGTCAATTTAAGCTATGTCTTCTTTGCTTCTCTAAATTTTTTACTCTTATTCCTATGCTTTTCAGTATCCCATCTTCTAAGCAGTAGCTTGATGCAAGTTTCCTCAGAATTCTATAGAAGACAATTATAAATTTCGATTTATACACAAAAACTGGTATGAATTTTTATTTTATGAATTTTCATTGATACTAGTTTCCTCTTTGTCTGACATTTCTGGCATATTCTTGTGGGATAGGTTTTTTTTTCTTTTTTTCTTTTTTTCTTTTTTTTTTTGGTTCGAGGTCACCTGTAGACTTGGTTTTTGTAAGTGCTTTGTTTACTTAGGATTTTGGGACAATAGTCATTGCTTGTGGTAGTGAATTGATGCCTTCTTGATCATGACTTGTTTTGTCTTTTGGTAGGGGGAGGTTGGCTGCAAGAATTTGGGTTCAGGACTTGTGATTATTGATTGGTTTAAATTTCATTCGAATGGTTTGTTAGCCATTCATTCATGTCCTGACAATCTAGAGCTTGACTTTTGATTTTTATTTTGCAAATGGTATTCATCTAGAAGTGAAAAATTGACCAAAAGTGATTTACCCTTTCTAAAGAAAAGACGCAACTTTTCTGGTCAAACCTTTTCTTATGAGCCTATTGAGCAAGTTAACTATAATGAACATTAGAATTTTTTCCCTTTTTTTTCTAGAAAAAGATCTAAGAAATTTGGTATATGAGATTCATGGTCTTTTTATCCTTTTAGATTCTGAAATACCCATCATCCATGCTTGTTTGTTTTGCGCCACCGTTCCTGCTTTTCCAACATACTGTAACTTCACTATCTTGGACATGTCCATTTCATTAAGCTCTGCTCATAATTCTGTTTTTCTAGTGCAACAGTTGCGCTTCAATAAATGGATATACTATCTTGAAATCCACAAGCAGCAAATTCCTAATAAAGGTGGGATTTAATATTCTTAATGTAACTACCAAAAAAATAAAAAAGAAAACTGTTATGATTGGATGCATGTTCATGAACAATTAACATTTGGATGGTTTGTTAATTGTTCTCTTTACATGAATAAATATGCCCTTAATGTGTTTAAGAAAGCTTTTCCATTTTTGGTTTTTGTGCTATTGGCAGCAACTTAGTAGCTCTATGATCATTGATTCTTTTTATTTCTAGTTTTCTACAAGGATCATGTCTTATTCAATTTATTTGGATAAATTTTTAAGTGGATGTGGAACCAAATTTGCCTATTAGTGCGGTGGCTGCTTTCAATAATATCTACCAAGCAATGGATTCTTATGAAGATGAGCAGAATTGATGCAATGAAAAGGTTAGTGAGAAAGCAACCTTAAAGTTAACTTCTGTGTAATTGCATCAATGCCTGCAAGTAAGGATTCTTCGCATGAGCACGTTCCTATAAAAATATTGATAAAGATTTATCTGATTGGTTTCTCAATTTAATTGCATGGTAGGGAAATGGAGG